GATCCAGGACACCCAGGCCTGAGCCCAGCCCTGCCTCTAACTTGGATCTTGAGCAACTTGGCTCTGGATTTCACTTTTCTCTGAAACTGAGCAAAGTGAAGACATTGGATCGGATTATCCTTCTGAGAATCATCATCTCCCCCAAAAACTTGTGGTCTCACACTTTTAGGGGAACCATTGCTGTGGAGACTACTTAGCTTATAGCTTAAGGTATGTAACCAAGGGTGGCTTTCTCCACTTCCGCCCCCCCCCAGCACCCCGTGCCCCCCACAGCGTACCTGGTAGCATCTGCACTCAAGGCAGGTGAAAATGCTTCTGAGGTCCTCACTCCTCATCTTGACTGGGGCCTAGGTCAGCTTTCACAGGAGAAGCCCGGGGACAACTAGGCCTGCTCTGCCACTGCTCCTCCTTCCTGGGTCCTGTCCCTGATGTCACAACTGGGTAACTATGACAACCCACCATAGGGACAGCAAAGTACCTCACAGAGAAGCCTGGCTGCCTCATTTCTGAAGTGAGACTAGGAGGAGGAGATGAATAATTCCCTGCAGTATCTAGCCTACCCTGTAATTGTCTCTAATCACAGGCAGAGCACAGACTTCAGGAAGAAACTGGACTTCGGCCATTACGTATCTCACAAGAATAGGATAGAGATAGGTATGTGGGCAGTTTGGGTTGGACACTGCCGTTAGGGGTTCAGGAAGTGTCTGCCTTAGCGATACTGACAGCAAATCAGACCGGCACATGGCTTTGAGGTGATGTGGCCTTATCGGCTGAGTTGGGTCAAAAGGACATTAGCATCAGTGACAAAATTTATCTTCCACCAGGGTTCATTTGATAGATATGCTCATTTAAATTCTTATTTAAAAATTCATTCTTTTTTTCTTTATTGATTTCAGAGAGGAAGGGAGAGGGAGATAGAAATATCAATGATGAGAGAGAATCATTGATTGGTTGCCTCCTGCACACAACCCAGGCATGTGCCCTTGACCGGAATTCAACCTGGGACCCTTCAGTCCGCAGGCCAACCCTCTATCCACTGAGCCAAATTTAGTTAGGGCTAAATACTTTTTTTCAAATATGTTTTTATTAATTTTTCTAGAGAGAGAGGAAGGAAGAGGGAGAGAGAGAAACATCGATTGGCTGCCTCCTGCACACCCCCCACTGGGGATCGAGCTCACAAGCTGGACATGTGCTCTAACCAGGGATCAAACGGGTGACCTCTTGGTGCATGGGACGACACCCAACCCACTGAGCCACACTGGCCAGGCTCATTTAAATACTTTAAAGCCAAAGTAAGATAGGAAGAGAATAGGACTTCAGCCCTTGATAGACAAGCTAGTCCTATTGGGAAAGGATGGGAAAGAAGCGCTTTCATGGAATTCAAAGGATATATGTCTCCATAAATGTTACTTATTCTAGCCCTTACCATCCTGACCTGCTCAAAACTCTTCAAAGATGTCAGTTTGGGAAATTAAACTAAAACTCCTGAACTGGATTAAGGTCAGAATTCAAAATCGTAATGTTTATTAATCAGGGTCATTGTCTAGAACAGTGATGGCGAACCTTTTGAGCTCAGCGTGTCAGCATTTTGAAAAACCCTAACTTAACTCTGGTGCTGTGTCACATATAGAAATTGTTGATATTTGCAACCATAGTAAAACAAAGACATATTTTTAATATTTATTTTACATATTTAAATGCCATTTAACAACGAAAAATCAACCAAAAAAATGAGTTCGCGTGTCATCTCTGACACGGGTGTCATAGGTTCGCCATCACTGGTCTAGAATGTGAGCTTTTCTGAGGCTGCGAAGAGGTCACCTGTGATATAAAATTGCTCTCTTTTATCCTCCAGTGAAACCTGCTGTCGATACCAAACCTCCAGTGACACGCACACATCACATTTTAAAGCTGGGCAAACTACAGGTATGTGTTCTTGCCAACTGCACATGTACCTTTCTGAGTTTTATCTGTGTCCTAAAGAGGTCCAGTTCCCCAGAATCTTCTAAATACCCACCCAACCAAAAGATTCGCAAATGCTCCTCCCTCCCCACACACATCACCCCCAGTCTCTTCAGCTCTGCTCCCAGTCTCCCCGTGGTCCTCAGTTTGCCCTTTCCCACAATCCCAGGAGAGCGATGCCAAGCCCTGTGTGCTGTGGCACAATGTCGCGATGACGTCATGCAGGGGTGGGCTTTCTCACCAGGGTGAACAAAAGAGAATCAACAAAATCGAGCATGAAAACAAGCAACTGTGTCAGAAAATTGCCAATGCCCATCGCGGCCCTGCCAAGGTGGATTGCTGGAATGAGTACTTCTCCAAAAGGTAGTGTTTTTTCTCTTCGTGTCATTGTTCAGTGTCAGTGCAAGCTTCTCCCGAGTGGGAGGAATACTGAGGGGACGTTATCTTGAGGAATAACCAAAGAGATGGTGTGAAGGAGAACGAAAACTCCCCCAAACGGAGAACTTTCCCGGTGTTAAAGAGCGTTTGTATCAGCTGAGAGACTGATTTCAGAGTCTCGTTCAGGGTTTGTCACGGGAAAGCACTACATTCTTGTGTAAAGTGGAGACCATCGCTGGGACTATGACACAGCATTCTTAAGAATCAGTTCCACGAATATTTCCTGAGCTACTATGTGCTCAGCACTGGGATCCAGAGACCAGATAAGATATATATATTTCCTAATCTCAAAGAACTCAGGTCTGATAGGGGATACAGTCATGTAAATAACAACGCAATGTGGTCAGGGCCACAAAAGTGTATGTAAGAGAAAGGAGAGAGAGAGAGAGAGAGAGAGAGAGAGAGAGAGAGAGAGAGAGAGAGAGAGATGTGTGTGTGTATGTGTGTGTGTCTGGGTCATTGTATATCTGAAATTGACTTGAAAGCTGAGGGAAGTGAGATGAAACAAAACTTGTCAGCGGCCATTTGAGATTTATCTATAGGCAAGACCTTCGCTCATCCTAGAAATCAGACATTCTCAATCCTTGCTTCACATGATTCCTTAAGGGCTTTTACAAAATGCCACTTTTTACAAGCTGGAATCTTCGTGAGCAGTGGGGCTGAGAACCGAGGCTATGCCCAGCTCCCAGGGTGCAGCCTGGTCCAGGAGGCACTCGGGCCTCCGGGCTCAGCGGGGACAGCTTGCTTCATGGCCCCCATTCCCATCCAGGAGGACAATTTCATTTTTCACCACGGTTCTGTGTTTTTTCAGCTTAAACAGAGAAACAAGGAACCGGAACCTGGTGAGAATCACCATTGAAAACCAGGGCATCCTGAAGAGGCTGGATGATCGCAAATCAAACTATGACCGCAGGTCGTCGGAGATGGACTGGCAGGCACGTGGGGGCTCTGGGACGGTCCTGGGGGTGCACAGGGTTTGTCTGTGTTCAGAGCAGAGTCCGTCTCAGGAGGGCCCATTAACCACCGAGGGCAAGATCATGAGAAATGATCGGTAAAAGAAAATAATTGGTAAAAGAAAAACCACCTAGAACAAACCCTCCAGGAGCCCAGGATCTCTCCTTGGCAGCAAAGCCAGCATGCATGTTCCAGAAAGATACCCGGTAGCAGCTTCCTTCATCCCTCAATTCATTCAGAAAGGCTGACTGTCCAAGCAAAGAGAATGGAGGGTGTACAATCCAACACGGGGTTAACATGCTTTATCAGGCGGAACCCTTCAAGGAGGGGGAGGGGGAGGGGGCGGCATTGGCAGTATTTTTAAAACCTCCGCTCCCTGACTTTAATCTGGAAGCTTTTTCTGGAAGCAATTCTGAAATAACGAATTTTGAAACTTCAACTTTCGCACCCGCGCCCTGGCTTTGACATAACCATTCTGATTTTTTTTGTTTTTTTCCTTCAAGAAGTCAAGACGTTATATCAAAAATACAACAAAGTATCTTTTCTACCAAGCTGGATAGGTATGTCTTACCCGGCTGCTCTTTACTATCGAACATGGTGATATCGAACACTTGATACCAAAGCCTTGAGAACTGTAGAGCGGCCCAGTGAAAGGGTGGATTTACTCTTCTATCGTCTCTATGGGTTACCCATTCAGAGACCTGCGAGCTCTGTCTCTGCTTTCTCTCCATTTAAGTAGGAAATGACTGTCTTTTGTCATCAGCGTTGAGGCTTTACATGTCCAAGGGGAAGTGATTTGTTCCAAGCAGATATAAACAGGAGGCCTCGTGGCTTTAATGTTGTGCCAAAGTGACATTACAGGTCTCTGACACTGTTCAAAAGTATTGTTGTGTTGGCATTTTGTATGATTGAACATTGTTAGTAACAACTAAGCTTGGTCCCCCCACTCCCCACCCCCACCCCGGGGGAGGGATAAATGGACACTCGGGCTTTCCAAAGAATAATTCTGTATAGTTGATGCCTCTCTACTTCTCTCCCTCGCTTCTCCCCGAATACAAGGTTACTCCCCACAGAACAGACGCAAGAGAAGGCTCTGGGATTTCTTAGCTGCTTGGGATCTCAAGACACTCAAGATTGGCTGCATGCTCAATCTTAGGGATGCTACAATAAAGCTTGAAACACAAAATGAGTAAGTTCCATTTAAGGTGCCCAACGGCTTTAAGTCCCATCCCAAAATGGAGACAGCATGGGGCAGGCGGAAGAAAAGAGGCAACAAGCACTTTTTATTTGGGGCTATGAAAAGAAGTTTTAATGAGAGAGGAGGAGAGAGAACTTTTTAAGACATAAACCATCATCACCACTCTGGGGGAAGAAAAGGTGGGGTGAGATGATCCAGCCACAAGTTCAGCTCCATCAAAATGGAAAACAGTGCCGAACCGGTTTGGCTGAGTGGATAGAGCGTCAGCTTGTGGACTGAAGGGTCCCAGGTTCAATTCCGGTCAAGGGCATGTACCTTGGTTGCGGGCACATCCCCAGTGGGGGGCGTGCAGGAGGCAGCTGATCAATCTCATCGATGTTTCTAACTCTCTATCCCTCTCCCTTCTTCTCTGTAAAAAAAATCAATAAAATATTTTTTTTTAAAAAGTGGAAAACAGAAGCACACCAGGAAATTAGGGTCCAAAGAACACAGAGAACGTATGCCGTTAGTTCCCTGTGAATTTGCAGAATTGGGAAAAAATGCTCGTCGACTTCCCACGTACCGCGTTCATTTATAAGAAGCAGCAACCGTGAAAATATCAAAAATATATTAAACCATATGGCAAGACCACATTGAGTGGCTTCTATGACTGGTCATGTTGGTGCTGAGCCTGGCTTATTTTGAGACAGTAAGTCTATAATATTCTTATCATAAATAAACTTCTTTATTTTAAAATAATTAGATTCACAGGAAGTTGCAGATAAATGTACAGGGTAGGAGTGGAGGTGGGCGGGAGAACTCCTGCACCCGTCACTCAACTTCCTCCAATGTTAGCTTCTTGTGTAACTATAGTACAACCAAACCAGGAAATGGGCATTGGTACAATCCGTAGAGCATATATACAGTTCTCCAGTCATACATGCACTCATTTATGTGTGTATAGCTCTATGCAATTTTATCGAATGTGTGCCTTTGTGTAACTACAACCACATTCAAGGTAGTGAACTGTCCCATTATCAAAAGACTCTACTGTCTTTTAGCCACCCTCTTCCTCCCATTCTTAACCCCTGGCAATCATTCATTTGTTTTTCATCTCTATCATTGTTATCTCATGACTGTTACATCAGTGGGATCCTGCAGTGTGTATCCATTCTTTTGAGATTGGCTTTTTCCACTCCATATAATTTCCTTGAGGTTCATCCAAGTTGTGTGTACCATTAGTTCATTCCTTTTTATCATTGATTAATATTCCATGATATGGATGTACCCACTGAAGGACAGTGGGTAGTTTTTAGTTTTTTTACTGTTATGAATAAAACTATTATGAACATTTGTACACAATGTTCTGCAAGAAAATAAGTTTGATATCTCTGGGATAAATATCCAAGAGTGCTGGGTCACTGAAACTGGTTTGGCTCAGTGGATAGAGCATCAGCCTGCGGACTGAATGGTCCCAGGTTCGATTCCGGTCAGGGGCATGTACCTGGGTTGCGGGCACATCCCCAGTGGGAGATGTGCAGGAGGCAACTGATCGATGTTTCTCTACCATCGATGTTTCTAACTATCTCTCTCCCTTCCTCTCTGTAAAAAATCAATAAAATATATTTTTTTAAAAAAAGAGTGCTGGGTTGCATGTTAGTCCATTTAAAAAGGAGCTACAGCCCTGGCCAGTGTTGCTAAGTGGTTGGAAAGTTGTCCCATGCACTGAAGAGTTGCAGGTGCGATTCCCAGTCAAGGACATGTATCTGGGTTGTAGGTTCACACCCCACCACCTGGTCAGGGCATGGGCGTGCAGGAGGCAACCAGTTGATGTGTGTCTCTCACATCAAAATTTTTTTTTCTCTCTCTCTCTCCCCTCCCTTCCACTCTCTCTGAAAAAAAGCAATGGAAAAAATATCCTCAGGTGAGGGTTAAAAAATAATAAAATAAGTAAGTAAATAAATAAATAATAAGGAACTACAAAACAATTTCCAGAGTAGTATATACCATTTTACATTTCCACCAGCAATGGATGAGTGATCCAGTTTTCCACATCCTCACCAGCATTTGATATTATCACCATTTTTATTTGTCATCCTAATGTGTGTGTAGTGACATCTCATGTGGTTTTAACTTGCATAACTCTAATTAATGAAGTTAAACATCTTTCGTGTGCTTATTCGCCATCTGTCTGTCCTCTTTGGTGAAATGTCTGTGCGTATCTTTTGCCAATTTTCGAATTGGATTGTTCTCTTTTGAAATATTAAATTTTGAAAGTTCTTTGTATATCCTAGATACAAGCCTTTATTTGGATATGTGATTTGCAAAATATTTTCTCCCCGTCTGTAATTTGTCTTTTTTGTCACCTTCATGGAGTCTTTCACAGAGCAAAGTATTTTAATTTTGACGATGTCCAATATATCAAGGGTGAAAGTATTCTGTATCATGACCGTATCACTGTCAATATCCTGTGTGTGTTATAGATTTTGCACATGGGAAAGTGGGTAAGGGGTACACGGGATCTATCTGTATTGCTTATCACATACATGGAAATCTACAGTTATCTCAACATGACAAGTTTAAAGAAGACATATGTCCACATATAAATCCCTTCTTGAACTGGTTCCAGTTCATCTCTGTTGGGGGAACCACCACCAGCCTAGACATTCAGGTGAGAAGCCTGGTGGCCATCCTTCACTTCACTCCTTCTTTCATCCCTTCCCCGTCGCTACATATTTCCAAGCTACCAGTCCTGCTTCTCAGTGTGTGCGTGTTACTGCTCATATTCAGGAGCTTGTGATCACAACTGTATTAGTGATGCAAAAATATGTCCCTCGCACTTTCTAATTTGACACCTTCTGTCACTTGCCATTCCTTCCAGACTGAGCCATACTTTTCAACATGGCATGCAAAGTATGTTAATATGCCCCCCAACCTGTGATTCTGTCCCTTCTGTCTCTGCAGCCTCCATCAATTAAAATTCTTAGTTTCAAGCAACAGAGACTGACTTGGTCTGATTTAAGTAGTGAAATAATTTATTAAAAGAATATGAATTAACAATACTTGCTAAAAAAAAACAAAAACAAACCTGCAGAACCAAGCTTCAAGCTGCACATCAAGGAACAACGCCCCGAATCTTGCTGTGGAACTGGTCTGTGGGTGCTACAGCCCTGCCCCACTAGAACTCGATCTTGCTGACCGGCAGCTGCTGTGTCTGAGAAGTCTCCATGTCTCCGCCGTGTTGTGTCACGAGCTCCCAATTCCAAATCAGTAAAGGTATTTCTGATGGGCGTAGCTCAGATCATATGTCCATTCCTTAGCTGCAAGGGAGGCTGGGAAAATGAGTAACTGACCTTTCCCACTTCTGGACACAGGTTCCGTTTCTCACCGGAATCCATAAGATAGGAAATGTCCCCAAATTAGAATGACGCTCAAAGGGCAGGACAGAGTAAGAAACGGATCCATAATAACTCTACCGGATAGAACATGCCTCTTGGTTCCGAACTGTATGGTTCGAGACTGGGCTTTGTACATATGCTGGTTTTTTGTTAATAAACACATTGATAAGTGCTATCATTTTTTTGGATTCCTGATCCTGTGTTTGGTGGCATAAATGATGTGATAAGTGGGTGCAAAATTTTGATGGGCCACATGTCTTAAAACGTGTATAATTATTTGAAACTACAATGGTACATACAGACATGATCAACTAATGTTTAACATAGCTGAGCCCTGCCTGTGACAGACAAATGGTTGTAGCTGTCCCATCTCCTGCAGGGAGTGGAGTGGAGTGGGTGGCAGAGGAGGTTACAAATCACTGGATCATGGATGGCAAACAGGATTGACTCACTGGCTAATTCTGCTCAAATGATACTGGATATTGTGTCCGGAAAGATAGGAAAGCAGTGCCTA